GGAAAGTCTTGGAAATCCAATGGAAGCGTGAGCACTACTTATATGATTGTGGGAAATTTTAACTACCAGTCCTTCGTCACATTAAACGAAATAGGGTGAGTACACTTATCACTTTCTATCTTTACCTAACAATTTATGCACCACTCTGGCGGCCTGGATCTTTGACTTTCAAAGTGCGGGACAATGTCCCAAGCTTCCAGTTACTTCTATGCTAAGAAGACTAATCGGTCCTTGATCAAATGTTATATATTATTTCATGCATATGTATATATGTATACATATATAATTCTCGAGAACAATTAAAATGGACTTTGATAATGGATTTGTTTAACCCTTTTTTAAGTCTATCATAGTACTGTTGTGTCGTGCGTATGTGGCGACTCATCCAAGCCCAGCTACTGATCATAGGAACTAGAATTCTTTAAAATACCTGATCTCATCACCATAATTCTTTTGATATTGACTGTTCATCTTCACCTAACGACTGGGGATCTCGCCACACGCAAGTCCCACACATTGTACGAAGAAGAGGTGGGCTTTGAGAAATCTTTCTGTAATTAAGTGTGATTTGACTTTTCGTCTTGAAGAGTCGCGAATTGACCTCATCGAAAAGCAAATGATGATCGTCTCGAAAGAGAGATTGTTGGGGTGTCCTCGGTTCACATTCCTGCGACTTGGATGAACCAACATGTGATAGACATAATCGGAGAATGAAAGCTTAGCTTACCAAAAAGCATATCTGAAGGAAAAGATATCTGAATATGGATGGATTTGGTCAATTCTCTTTCGTATTAAAAAGGGTTCTTATGTCTGGGTGTGTGTCTCTAGACATGTTATGGCCTCTATTCGGGTCGCAGTCCCCTTTCGATGTATAGAAGTGGTCAGACCTCGTTTTCGCAACTTGATACTGTTGTTAGGGCGACTTAGTTGGACACACCTTCTCCTAACTCCTCTGCTATAGTAGTTATCATAATTCCAAACATCTGACAGTTGACTTGGTACATTCCCAGACGTTTAGCCGGCATCGGTGAGTCCTGCCATTTTCAGCATAAAGATACAACTCGTCAAAAAGACAAATCTGTCTCAACCATTTCGGCAGAAAGTTGGTCAAGGGATTGATTTGACTTGTCTCTTTGTAGCTAAGGGCTGAGAATGCCAAGACTCACTGACGAAGCTGGAGAAACATCCTGGAACGAATTCAGTCCACGGTACAATGCGGAGAATTATTATACCTACCATAGAAGAGGACTTTGAACAAGATGAGTCCAACTAAGTCGTCCTGACAACACGACCAAGTTACGTAAATGAGGCTATACCACTTCTATATATTTTTTAAGTTTTTAGTTATGATTATATATAGTATGCAATATAAAGTTGGCTGATATCTTCGACTTGGTGCTAACTTAGAGCTTTTACGAGAATAAGTTACAGCTCTAATGACGTTGGTCAAGCGGTAAAACGAAATGCGGCTCGGATCGTTTTCACCTAAAATGAGAAAGCATGTCTCGTAGACGATGTCAATCTTCACCAAACACTTTTATGAGAAATAAGAGTCTTCATTAAAGATCCTAGTTAAGGGAAACATACAGTATTTATAGGTGAACAAGTGACTTTTCTTGACTCGTTAGCGTGAATGTGAGTGTAAAGATGATGTTCTGCTCTGATTATGTCCATCATACGGCAGACGAAAACTAATCAAGTTTTCAATCGAAGTAGATTGCCTTGGAAACAACGTCAACAAGGATGTTCCAGTAAAGCTAATTGACAGCTGGTCAAGAGGAATCAGAGTCATCTCTGGTAGGATCGACCTTCGAATCTTTCTAACAAACACTTTCACTCTAAACGAAAGTGAGCTCGACACTCGTCAGCATGGTAAAATCGTAACTGACGCACATTTATTTAAGTTCGCCCCGTTCTGACAACGCTAAACTAAGGCAAAGAACAGACAACACGACTTTTTCCACTCCGAGACTACCCTCCTTCGATTTGCAGTGGGCCGGCTTTCAGGCCAAGGGCTACTTCGGCGCGAAGAGTTAAGTTGCGTGCACGCATACACGCACACGCACACGCACACGCACATGCACACCTATGCGTACATACACATGCTGCCTCCCAGCGCCTAAGCGTGCTGCCGCCTACTCGCCTAGTGGGTCTTTATTCGACGAAACCTAGTTGAGCAAGCCACCCAATCCCGGGTAGAGGGCAAAAGGTATGCTTACCTGTCGGACTGTGGATTGCCGGCCTGATCGGTGTGGCCGCCGATGAGGTGACCAAGCGAAAAGACACACTCAGGATTGGCCCCGCGACGGCCTGGCACCGGACGTAAGGGCAAAATGAGGGGCATCTGGTCAGAGACGTGACTGTGCGGTATGCGCTAGTCTTTGTTGGCTTCTGTTGGGCCGAGAAGAAAAACGATGCTGTGCGATGCGATGCGATGCGGTTAAGTGCGA